TATCTTATCTTAAGGAAGATTAGACACACATTTGAAATTCGTCATAACTAGAAATAGTACACAGTTAGTTGCCAAAGGGGCAGCACCCCAGTACAAAGTATTGTAGGATGTCAGGTCGATGTGTGTGTTTGAGCAGTAGTTAGGCAAAGCTTTATTTATGAAGGCAGTGTGATTCTTGAAGGCCAAGTAGAATTTAGGTAAAGGGGAAATTTCCTTTCATTCATCTTCAGTTCTCTCAAGAAGCTGTTATTTGCAAATACAGAGTTATAGAAATGATACATTCTGATACACATCCATTCTGTGATAATCTGCCAATTTTTTTTTCTTTTGAATACTAATTATAATTTAAAGAAACTTCATTTATATGTCTGAAGTTCATGAGACAGAAATTTTACCTATATAATTAAGAGTAGTTTTAATAACTTCAGTACTGATTAACCTACCAATTTTTTATGTAAGACTAAGCTTTTCAAGTGGGAGAATTGAATTTTGTTTTTTGAAAATTTTCCTTTTACGAATTTGTTCTTCTCTTGATTTTTAGAGATAATCATATAAAATATATTTCCGTTCTGTTTGTTAACCTGATTTAAAACAAAAACAAAATTAGAGTCTGAGGATTGTAGTATTTCTTTGTTTTAAATACATTTTTAAATGTTTTATTGTGATCGCTTAAACATATTAGTCCAAATTAGTAAAGATAGACATTTTCAATGAAGTGTCATTCTTGGGGATGATTCTTTCATCTGGAGTGTGGAAGCAGGCTCAGCACCTTCTGCCTGGTGAAGATATATAGTGGCTCTGTTTTTCTGAGAAAACTGTGGGACGTTGAAAGTTGACTTGATTTATGTAAAGTGTGGAGCAGGACTTCTTTTAGCAGCATTTTACCAAAAGACTAATTAGACATCCTGCCTCTCTATAGAGGTGGACAGCTATGAGCTTTACCTAAATCTGCAGGCAGATACAAAAGAAATTGTAATTCAGAAGTAGAAAGTTGCTTCTCATCTTCACCAGGCCAAATATCCCATCAGGCAGGATTTTTAAAAAGATGACTTTATAATGTGAATAAGGACTTCATTTTAAAACAAATTTGGTCAGCGAGGTTTCTGGATTATGACCCATAAATTTGGGGTGTTGGCATTTAGAACTAGATAGTTAATGTTAGGCCTTTCAGTCATGAATGAAAATTTGTAAATCTTGCTGAGAGCTGTTAGGATCTTCTACCATTGGATAGAGCTTGCAGTCTTAACCAAAATTTATTACTGCTGAGGCAGAATTGGCAGTATTATGATGGCTAATAATGGTCACTGAAAAGTGGGAGAGAAATATTCCCTTTGGTTAAAAGTCAGGCAATCCCCCACTGTTTTATTTACTTGGATTTTTTTTTTTATTCCTACAGGCATTGTCTGGTTTTAGACAAATACATGTAATAGACATGGACACCATAGATGTTTCCAACTTAAATAGGCAGTTTTTGTTTAGGTAAGTGTTGTCCTAAATTATTTATTTCTTAGGATTCATGCTCTTTTATAAACTTTTATTCATAAGTTTGATTTCAGTGATTCTTTTAAAAACAAATTGATGTATGGATAATGATACTTTCTATAAAAATACTTTAGGTTACAGGTGAAAAGTTTGCAGGAAAAAAAACCCACTTTCAAGGTGATATTCTGCTTAAAATAGAGTGAATACATTTAAGCAAATCTGTCTCAGTAATGAGCTGTTCCACTAATGTACGTGCAGATTTACATGCAGAATATTCTTGGCCTGACAGGTTAGATAAATTAATTTGCAGTTGAGTTGTGGCTATGATCTTTTTCCAGCTGAAGTTGTTTGTAAATTCATTGCACTTCAAACCTTAACCTCCTACTGAGCCCTGTGCCAGATGCTAAATGAGATGCAAAGTTGAGAAAAAGCATGCAATTCCCTGCAGTTACGAAGGAGTTGATGTGACTCACCTATATGTAATGACAGTGCAGTGGAAGAAATGGTTTGTGTATTACTAAGGTGGAGAGAGTGCTGCAGCAGGGTCTGGGGCTTGATGTTGTGTGAGGTTAGTGCTTACAAGGGCCTGGGAAAGCTTCCTGGAGCAGGTGTTGGCAGTTAGGTGTGAAAGGAGAAAAGGAATCGTTTGTTTGGGATAGGAGATCATGGAGAGGTGGTGCTGGTAATAATCTGGGATCTGAGATTTTGAGCCCTGTATGGTAATGTGAATATGGAATTGTACAACATTTTGAGGTTATTAGCTAAGAGGAGCCTGGAAAATCTGAGGATGAAAGAACCTGAGAGGACCTGACTGAGGTGAGGACTACTGGTTTTAACCAGTTCATTAGGAAAACATGAGAAGTAGGAACAGCTGAGTGGTTGGAGGAGAGACAGCTGTGAAGGGCTGCCAGGCAGTGCCCTCAGAACAAAGATGCCAGTGAAGACATTGTCTCTGGGCAGAGTCCTGGGGGCAGCGTTTGGACCTGAAGGGAACAAGTATATCTTGTGGTTCAGAAAAAGGACCTTGCCTTGCCAGTGATGAAGATTGCTGAAAGGATTAGGTGTGGAGAAAGTAAAGGCCTTATTAAGGAAGGTCAGTGATTCAAAAGATCAAGCTGGCTGGCCTGGAGGATGAAACAGGGAAGGTCTGAGTGGAACTGAGTAATAAATAACTAAATCAATTCAAGATCTGGCTGAGACCATTCAGGTAACTGCCTATTTTTCTCTTGTGCCCTTAGTATCCTAAGGTTCCCTTATAGTTTTTGTTTTTTCACCCAATCAAACATTGTTTAGCAACTAATTTGTAAGAGGTAGTATGCAAAATTGATGAATGGAAAATAGGGGCAGTTCCCCTCAGTACTCAGGTGAAGGGAAAGGGGGAGAAACCCCTTTATTCCCAGGCATAGACACATGGGTAATAGCAGTAGAAGGTTGCCTGAACAAGCAGAATCTACCAGTTTGATGGATTTTTGTTTGGAGGTTGCCTTAAAAACCCTATAGTTATAGGGTAGAAATCTGTCAGACATTTGGATTACAGTATTTTTAGTTGTGAGTAAGCATTTTTTTCATCACATCATAGAGCAGTACTTTGGTTTAGGAAATATATTTAGTTAGAACACGGTTTTGTTGACAAAGAGGTAATGACAAGTCTTTCTACTGTAAATCTTTAAGAAACACTAATTGGCAAGTTGAAAACAGTTTTTAATGAGCACAAGCAACAGGGAAAATTAATATTACATATAAAAATGTACCAATCTTTTCCATGGAAGAAAGTTTTTAGTTAATAGAAGTGACCATTACCTAAGCGTCATGGCTTGTTTTAAGGCTTTCTATTCTTTTCAACTTTCTAAAGCCTCTGTAATTTTAGGAATTTGAAATATTCCTTTGTGATTGCATTGTAATAACACAGGAAGTCATTAGTCTTCTTGGAAAACGAAAGATCAACAACAACATATTATAATGCATTAAAAATGGTTCCTCAACCTTTAGAAACCCTTTGGAAACTAATACTTTTCCTAGTCTACTTAACAGTCCACTTAAACTATGGAAGAGAAGCTTAGTACCCTAGAGACCATTCTAGTCAGTCTTGTCATTTCACAGATCAGCAGTTGAGGCCCATGGGGGTGAAAGTGACTTGAATCATCTTTTTATGTTCATAGAATGTACTATAACACATCTCTTGAGATCTTAGTTCCAACCAAAGGATTGTTTGAACGTCTAGAAACTGGCTCATGGTTGGGAGTCTGGTAAGGGCATCTACTGCATCATCTTTGGGCAGTTTTTCCCGTTCTTTGAAGTTGTTTGAATAGAGGGACAGGACAATAGCACACAGCACTTTTTGTCCTGGAGGTGGATAGAATTTGATATAGCCAAAGTCAAAAATGCCATTTTTCTGTAGTACCTCAGAAGGTATAGCATTTTTTATGTGTTATGTCCTAAGAACTTGTTTTTGGCCTTGTCACCTTAGTCATCTTTGTGGAGGTGCAGAAACAGCATAATGAGATTATGCCAACTGAGTGATAATTAGAATCTCACAGGCATGTTTATTTTGATTAAACATTCATGTGTCTGCTGTCCTTCCTATGGGGAAGGTCCAAGAGGCTAATGATGATAATGACTTCAATGACTAGCATTCATATGGCACTTGGAGGTTTGCAAGCACTTGCCAAGTGGGATCTCATCTTATTCTTGCTACTACCCTGGGAGATGCCCATGGTAGGAAGGTGCCCATGTAGAGCAGGGAACTGAGGCACCTAGAGGCTGTTAAGAGCCAGAGATTCAGCTGTCTTTAAATAAAGGGAGCCCCCCCCCCCAATCCTGGAGGAGGAGGGGCCTGAGGGCTTGGACTGCGGTGTCAGAGGCAGGGAAAGCTATGGGACAAGCAGTGGAGCACCGTCTTCGCTTGGAAGCACAGGATGTACTAAGATGGAAAGCCAGGAATTGTGGTCAGAGGCTTTCAGACTGCGGACAGGAGAAACTGCTCAGAGCTGGGGCACTGATTCACTTCAGCTCATGGCATTTTCATTTCAGTGCTATGACATTAATGTATTTTTCACAGTACTCATTGTAGCTAAAATCCTGTTGGAATGGAAAGCATTAAATGACAAGACAGCGTGGTGTAGTTTTTAGCAGGCCACCCCTGTGAGTCTGGAAAATTAAGAGTTCAGGGCCTGCCTGCTACACTTGTTAACTGTGTGACTCTGGGCAAGTGACCTGAAGAGAGCTACAGAGGGACATCATCCCTGGGGAGTTCCCCATGTCAAGGACATCTTTGCCATTGGCTTCAAGGTTGGGGTGGGAAGCGTGGCGGCGGCAATCAATTATTTACTGGTATGTTTGAGAATTTAAATAGATCCTCTGGAAGAGTTTTCATCTGTAGGCAGTAATTGTGACTTACTAGAGCTTTTTAAACGGTATGTTTTTCCAGGCCTAAGGATGTCGGAAGATCCAAAGCTGAAGTTGCTGCGGAATTCATAAACGACAGGATCCCTAATTGTGCTGTAGTTCCGTATCCTTTTTGCTATGAAATATTCTTTTGATGCATTTATTTTAAACTGAAATGGCTTGTTAGATGCCATTTTTGCTAAGAATCTTGACCTTTGTGTAGGTCGACAGAGAGAATTTTTTAAAAAAATGTTAACTGCTAAAGCCCTGAAATGGAGTGGAGTGGGCCTCTTCTAATGCCCTCCTTGGATGTTTTCTCTTTGTTTTCTGGTGGCCTTCCATTTTGGAAGACTCTGCTACTGGAGCACGAGCTCTGCTGTTCCTTTTAGATGGTCAGCATAGGCATGGAGGTGGAGAGCGGGGATAAAAGCTCGTTACTCGAAGGCTGCGCTTGAGATGATGAATCTTGTTTGACTGGCAGTTCCTGAGTCCTTTCTACTAAGAAGTGGCATCTGTCCTCACACAGATCTTTGATGTAAATGAATTGTAAAATCTTACAAGTGAAATACATTCTGGGAAAGAAATATTTTTAAAGAGGAGTGTTCAAGGAGAGCATATCTAGATCTGTTATGTTTTCATCCAGGATTCCTTTCATATGTGTGTATAGTCTCATAAAGATTTTTATGGAGATGAGAGAATATATATATGGATCATTTGCTTATGTCTTACTGATTTCCCTTAATACACACATATATAAAAATACTATCCATTATCTTTTCCATTCTTTGAACTCTTCCCCTCTTTAAGATACCTTTAAAAATGCCTATTTTATTGCCTTTTAAGCACATTTGACTCCTCCGGAGGTAATTTTCTATCTGGTGTATCTGGTCAGAGAGCTTCATTCTCTTTAGTATCGTTTTATTTTGTTTTGTTTTTGGTGGTGGTTATGATGGCCAGTGACTGGCCTTTGGGTTTTCTTCTTGAAAAAAACATTTATGATGTACCACTTACAAAATTTCTGAGTAATCTCTACCGATCTTTGCTATTTTTCGTTTGTAAAATCTGGATCCATTTTACTATCATGTTAATGCATTTTTTATGTCATACTCTCATACACTCCTTAAAACGGGAAAAAATGAAGCAAAACCTCATATAGTGATGGGGACTCACAGAATATGTAACTGCACCTTTAGTTGCTCACTTCTATCAAGAGGAAGGAAGTGTGCTGTTAGTAACGTTAAGATCCTCATTTTAGAACTGGAAGGAACCTCAGAGGTCCAGTGCCCTCAGCTGTGACTTGCCCAAGGTTAGACAGGTGTGGGATCAAAAGATCATAGATTTAGAGACAGAAGGAAATTGAGATATCATCTCGGCCACCCCCTTCAGTTTTCTAGACCAAGGATGCTTGGTTCTAGAGAGATAGAGCAACCTGCCTAAGGCAACAGGTAGCAAGTGGTGGAACTAAGTCTGGCGCTCCTGATTGCAAATCCAGATGTGTGTCTTTCTGTATCACCTGAACATGAACTACATGGTGTCTTGTAATCTCTCTCTTATCATTGTCTTGAGTTCTATTTCTTGCTTTGTGAACATTTTATATATTTCTTTCTTTCTGCAAAACTACATGAGCTCCCAATGGCAGGAATGGTGTCCTGACTTTGTCAGATCCGTAGCACTTAGCGCTAGTTCCTTATGCTGGCCCAGAAATACTCAATAAACATTTGTTTAGGTCAGGGATGGGGAACCTGCAGCCTTGAGCCACAACATAGCCCTCAAGGTTCTCAACTATGGCCCTTTGATTGAATCCGAACTTCACAGAACAAATCCCCTTAATAAAAGGATTTGTTCTATAAAACTTAGACTCGGTCAAAAGGCCGTGCCCAAGGACCTAGAAGGCCACATGTGGCCTTGAGGCTGCAGGTTCCCTACTCCTGGTTTAGATGATCTCACATCCTATATAGTATGTGCTTTATGTAACTTCTGTGCTGGATATAAGAGTTCTTTGGATCAACTCACTCATATACCTCTTCTAGGATTGGGTCAATCTGGCCCTGTCCAAAAAGCCAGGAAATGAACTGTCCTTAGTGATCCCGAGTATCCTGGCCCTAGTTCCAGAGCACTTTCACAACCTGTAGTGATGACAGCAAGGAACATTTTGATGCTCAAGATTTGAAAACAAGGTAAAAAGATTATGAATACTTTGAGGTATGGCATTGAGTTTCTTTGGCCGTCAGAGTTTGAATCAATAGCTTTGATAATACTCTTTGTTCTGGGGGTTTTTCAATGGCTTTGGGCCATAACTGACTAAGTTTTGATCATCATTGAAAAGGAAGTTTGGAAAATAGTCTCTTATAATAGGAAAACTTTTTTCTTTTTTTTTTTTCTGTTGCCTCTGCCTTTAACCTGTTGCTTTTGATGTGATTTCTTTTGCCTTGTAGTGGTTTTTTTTTTAAATGTTATTGTAGTCTATATTCTTCTCCTGGTTCTGTTATGGATTATTCTGTTAGGATTATTTTCATTTTTGTTCTCTGTTGGTAATTTGGAACGTTTTTGCGTTTAGTTGCTTGAAGAGGTTTCCTTTCCAGCAATGAGGAAGTGATAGTCTTGTTGTACTTTGCCCTGGTCAGACCATTTCCAGAATATTAATGTTTAGTGGTGGGCACCACATTTCGTTGATAAGCTGAAAGGAGTCTGGAGGAGGTCAGGCAGGATGATGACGAGCCTGGGACATGTTTCTTGGGAGAATCAGTTAAAGTTTAGAGCTATAGTGTTTAGCCTGAATAAGAGCAGTCTCCTGGGACATAAGAGAGGAGCTTTCCTATAAAAGTGGCAGGACTTAGAGTAACACATGGGAACTGTAAAGAGGCACATTGAAGATTGAGGTAAGAAAAACCTTCCTACCAGAGCTATTCAGAAAGACTGCTTGGAAGGGAGTTATGCACTTCCTCATCGAAGGAAGTTCTTTAAATAGTATTGATACCACTTGTCAGTTGTTATAGGTAGGATTATTTTTCAGGTATGGATTGGACAAATGGTCACTGAAGTCTCTTCCCACTGGAATTCTGTGGTTCTCTAATTTATTTTGAAAATTTTTCATATCATTTGACCACTTACCTACTTTGTAATGGCTCATGTCCTTAGAAATTTGTGCCAATTCCCTGTTTATTTTGGATGCTAGACTTTTATCAGGCATACTTGATGCTTTTACAACAATTTTCTTTCCTTTCCAGCTTTTCCACTGACATCACTGAATCTCAAGACCTCTTACAAACTCTGTTCTGCCTTCGCAGCCTCTCTCAAATATGCCTCCTTTCTTCATTGGAAGCATGGCCACCACCCTAGTTCAGGCCCTTATCACCTCTTGACTAGACTGTTGTAATGGCCTCCTAACTGGTCTCTCTGCCTTTTTAGAGTTCTTATTTTCCTTCAAAGCTCAGCTCCGGACCACCTGCATTAACCCTCTTTCCTATCCTCCTCCTGTGAGTGCTTCTCCCCCCCCCCCCCCCCAAAGTTACCTTGTATTTATTTTGTATAAACTTAGGACTATGTTGTACGTATTGTCTTCCTCAGTAGAATGCAGGTTCCTTGAGGGCAGCAAATACCTGCTTTTTGTGTTTGTATCCTCAGAGCCTGATGCTGAGTTGTTGCTTAATAAATGCATGTTTGATTTATTTTTTATCTTCTTGGTGGTCTTTATGCTTATTTTTGGAATACTAGTTAATATTTCCCCTAATAGTTAGTTTATAAATACTCTTAAGTGAGATGACCACATTCCCCATGAAAAGATGTTTCATGTTGACTTGGGACCCCCAATCAAACTAAGTGCAGTGTGGTGCAGTAGAGTGAGTACTAGGTTTAGAGTCAGAGGAAATGGCTTTCAGTTCCCCTTTGGCAACTTACTACCTGTTATGACTTTAGGCAAGTCTTTTCATCTCTGAGCCTCAGTTTCTTCATCAGTAAAATGGGGGGATTGGATTAGATGACATCTGAGGTCCCTTACAACTCTAAATCTGTCATTTTATGATCTTTATTTGCCTGTCCAAGGAGACTCTCTGAGCCATTCTTCTGTTTAGTTCCAGCTTCATTTTCTGTTTTTATTCAGAGGGAGAATGTCGATATGATCAGTAAGCTTTCATTCCTGTGGTTGGTAATTTGTTGGTAATTATTGAAAGATCTCAAATTAAGAGGTATCTGCTATTAACTTAAATGTTTGAAGATGGTGAAAACACATTGTGATTCTTAACTGCCTCTGGCCTTTTTTCTGATGTTTCTTTGCGAATGTGCTCTTCTGTCTAGACTCTTAACCCATTTTGTATTTTTGTAGGTTTCATTGTTTCTGTGGCCAGCTTTGTGGTAACAGCCATTTCCTTCCTTGGCTAGGCAGGCTGTAAGATCTCAGACACAGCCTGTGACTGCAACCAGGTCCTCAAACACCAGGAGGAGGCATTAATTAAGACAGAACTTTGATGCATCAGCTTAGCAACTCTCAGTTACTGATAGTAGAAAACCCAGGAAGAATAGGCAATGTTGACTAAGAAATAGATTTTTTTTGGTGGTGAAATGTACAGTATTAGAGTGAAATACAGAATTAGGAAAAGATAAGTGCCCTGAAGCTTTGGACTGTCTCTTTAGTCTTTTCTCAGTGATTGGTATAGCGCTTTACAACACAATGGATGTGTAATACTACTATCTGGCTAAAAAAGAGTGTATTGTATGTGTACATGAAAGCAAACTCTTCACCCTTGCCCTCTATTTTGACATCGTTTGATTCTCTTGCCTTACGCTTTTGGATGGAGAGAATTTCTTAACTTAGATAACACTTTGTTCATTCTTTCTGTTTTCTTAACATTTACATATCCTGCCACCACTTTATGCTATTAGAACATTCTTATGTTGTAATTTTCAGTTTTCAGATATGTTTCCTGGTTTGGCCTTAGGACTAGGAGTAGGGATGCAGCTTACACTGATGCTAGGATCCAGATATGACAACCCAGAGGTTTCCTTATTAATGTCTTCAAATGGAATTCTTGGATTGCTGTGTCACTCTACTATTAAACCTTGGATTCAGACAAAACCAGCTTATTTTTCTGAAGACTTAAACAGTTGTTAACTTAATAGAGCAGGGAAGCAACAACTTCCGCATGGGCAATGTTCCATTGAATTGAAATGATTAGAAAAATCTCATTTTTAAAAAAATTTCTCTTTATCCCACAGTGATGCCTTGGAGCTCAAGGCATGGGTGGGCACCCCAGAAGAGGAGAAGGCTTTTGACGAGAAAGTATGTTAAGTTCTCTTAACTTTCTGTTCAGATGTGATCAGCCCTTTATTGCTTTTGGCCAAAAACCATTGCAAAACCTCCAGAACAAAAAGCAGGGACAAGTTGATTCATTCAGTTAGAACTTTGGTAGGGAAAAGGAACCCACTCTATATCTCAGAGTGTTTTTATCATAGCTTTTCTACTTGTTTTAGAATCGTGAGAGTCAGAAAGTTCCTTAATGTCATCACTGTGCAAGCTCTACATCCAGAGCCATGAGACTAGGTGTCCCTGAGGGCAGGCCATTTCATTGCTCATTGGACGGGGTCAGATGAGCCTAATCCTGAAAAGAGGTATATAAGAAACCTGAAGAATTCTTTTTCTTACCGAGCATAGAAATGACATGAGGAAACACACAGGACTTGAGGTCAAGCCAGCATCTCAGTGTGGCAGCACGAGGCATTGTGTCAGTGCTGTGGAAGGCGTGAGTGTCGAGCAGTGTTCTGCCCAGGAGCTGACACAGGAAGATGTCACCTAGCGAATGTCACAGCTGAAGACATTGGTAAAAGATTGTTAGGAGATATTCTGTAATTCCTTGCCAGTGTGAGACAGTGAGAAAGACACTGACTTTGGAGTCAGAAGACCTTCAGAAGACCTGCCATCGGTTCTTGGTTCTAGTCCGTCTTTGGCCACGGGAGGCTTTCTCTCCAGATTTGTGTTTCTTCATTTGTGAAATCAGAGGAGTTAGCCTAGATTCCCACCAAAGTCCAATTTAGCTCTAAATAGATGATCCTCAATCCGGTGGAAGGAAGGCTGATTGCAGAGTACATTGCTTAGGGAAGTTTTTAGAGAGGAGGTGAGCTAGGTATCTCACAGTGTATATAGGGAGCATTCTGCTTATGAAATCTATCGCTCTAATGAGAGCATGGAAGTGTTTGGTAATCTGTACTCTGGGACCAAAACTGTTCATCTTTCTTAATATGACTTAATAGCTGACTTAATAGAACTACTCAGCTGATAGATGAAAAATATGTTTGCTGTGTAAAGAGCCATTTTATTTATAACTGGCATGTAGTTATAAATAAAAAGGCTCTTTACACAGCAGACAAATGAGATGACTCCTTAGTCTCCCCTTCCCCCAAAACCCTAGTAGCACCTCATGGTTGGCATTAGCTTTTCAACAATTGTTCAAATCTAAAGTGTGTAAATAAATGATATGCTAACTTGTCTGATTTGTCAAATGTCTTATGAGTTCAGTTGCTTTGAATGCTGGTGACTTATAACTAAATTTTGAGTATGTCTGTCTCTCTTATTCATATATATACACATACACACATTTTAGTTCCTTTACTTACATTCAGACATTTCAACAAGATTCAGAATTTTGATGATACTTTCTATAGACGTAAGTTTTCACTTGAAATCTCATAATTTTACAGTAAATGTTTACTAAGCCCTTGTTTTAAAGTTAGCTTATTTTTTTCTTTATAGAGATGATTAACTCTTTGAATGCTAATTAATAGTATCTTCTATTTCTTTTTCTAAATTGGGACATTGACAACCCTTGATGATGTAGTAAAAAGAGAAGAAAAAGTGCTGATGTTTAAAGGCTAAATTTCACCTCGCTGCATTCAGCACAACTGGAGTTAAAAGATTGGATTTTAAAATTGACATTTCTACATATTGATAAAATATGCCATCCTGTGTAAATTTGAACTATTTACATTTTATAAATGAATGAAAAATCATTAAGTGCATACTAAGTACCAGTCCTGGTGCTGTAAGGTGGGGATATAAATATAAGCAGAGGTAAGACTGCCCTAGGAGCTTATATTCTAACTGGAGAAGGCAGCACATAAAGGGGTGCTTGAAAGGGTTGAGACTGGAAATAACCAGAAAGTGACATCTGAATGTTTGGTTCTGGGCACGATTGTAAAAATTCAGCAATGAGAGCCCAGGGTCCTGGAGCAGTGTGCAGGTTCAGGAGGGATGGGGATGAAGAAGTTGGCTTCCTTTTAATTTTTTTTAAACTAAAACACCATCATTTTTTCTTAGAATTTCATATCATTGTATGTGGTCTGGACTCCATTATTGCTAGAAGATGGATAAATGGCATGCTGGTAAATACTTTCATATTTTCTCTGGTTTCTCTTAAGTTCTTGATAATTGGGCATCAAGTAAATTAGAGTTACATTGTGTGGTGGTCATTAAGAAAACTCAAGGCTACTTTGCTGCTTAGTTTTGAATTAAGTAGTTATAACTCACTGCTCTGTGGGGAGGAGATGAGTTAGTGGAAGCCTTTCTGATTATGGGTGAAGAAGGTTATTGAATTGTCTGACTGTACCCAGACTTTTCCTCCAAATCTGACTTACACAAAACCAGAGTGTTGCCTATAATTGACCTCTTGGATAACAAAGCTCTTGGGACCATAGACTTAGAGATAAAAGGACATCAGCCTAGAGGAGGTCCGGCCCAGCTTCCTCCTTTCACAGGAAGCTGAATTCCACCGAAGTTAGATGATGTGCACAAGGCCACACAGCTAGTAAGTGGGAGAGTCCCAGGCTTCAAACTCAGGTCTCCGGACTTCAGATTCCATGTTCTTTCTTCTGCATCATGCTATCTCCCAATGATAAATCTAATTACTGAGAATTATGATAAAAATGAATAAAACACCCTTATTTTAATTGAAAGAAATGTGTTAAAAAAAAACTACAAGCACATGTGTATTATTAATACGGTAATTTAAATTTTTTAGTGAATCCCTAGTTCTATTTTTCTTTTTAGAGAAATTTCACTTTTAAAGGTGAGGCCTGTGTTTAATGATAGCATATATTCAGACCAGTATGGTAATATCTGATTCCACTTTCATTAATAAAACGCACTTTAAAACAGCTTCCTTCCCTCTTTTCCCCCCACCCCACAAAATGTTACCTTGAAGGGCCTGGGATAATTTTGTCATTAATTCTGTTTTTATAGTTGTTTTATGTTCTTCTAGATATCACTTCTAAATTATGAAGATGGTGTATTAGATCCAAGTTCCATTATTCCTTTGATAGATGGGGGAACAGAAGGTTTTAAAGGAAATGCTAGGGTTATTCTACCTGGAATGACAGCTTGTATTGAATGTACACTGGAACTTTATCCACCACAGGTAATTTGTTTTACAGACTGTTGAAGAGAATTAAGTTTTAATTAACATGTTTTAGGGCCTACTAGATATAATTTGGAAAAAGAAATTAACATATACTAAACATGTTTGTCCTTGTTATGCTCATAACATATTATTAACTCATTCTTGTATGCTTGGGTAGGAGTTAGGGGTGAGCTCATGCCATGTAAACAGAATGGGGAACTTGGGAGATAAGAGAGACTTGGTTAGGAATGTCCCATTGAGGGGCCTCGGTTTCCTCAAGGGGTTAAATAATTTATAATTTTCCCTCAGCATTCCTAGGATACACTAACTCTGAATCTACTACATGACCTAATGGCCAGAAGAGCCTATCCTAGGCTGCCTTCAGAAAGGCACAGTGTCCAAAAAGAGAGAGGTGAGGGTCTTTGACTACTCTACCTTGGTCAGACTACATTCAGGGAACTGGGTTTAATTCTGGACACCACATTTTGGGGAGAACTTAAAGAAGAGGGACCTTCAAGATGGTAGGGATTGGGCTATATAAACAGCTGTTGAAACTAGAGAAGTTTAACCTGGAAAGTTGAGGACTTTGTGGAGATGTGATACAGTTACTGAGTACAGATAGTTGTCACATTATGCAAATTCAACTTTACATAAAGAATTCTGAAATAAATGCACATTCCAGAAAACACCTATGTTAACTTTACTGTACAGTACTGTGCTCTCTCTTCTTCTGGCCCTCAGCTTGGCACTCTATGCCCAACCTCCCACCAGGAGAGAAAAAAAAACAGACAAACCCTTAAAAAAAAAAAAAGTGAAAGCAGAATGGAAGGTAGGAGAGGGGGCCACCACTACCAGATTGGAGACTTGGTTTGAGATCTCCAGCACAGAGACTGCAGTGCAGAGAGAGAAGACCTCTGCCTCACTCTGCCCACTTGCCCAGATGTCCAGCCCCAAAATGTCTTTTCCATCTGTCTGTGGTTGGATACCATGTGTCTGTCCCTGGCCCCCACATGTCCTTAAAGTCTGTTGTGGCCACCCTCCCTTCACGAGAACATGGCCCCCTGCCTGCCTCCCTTTCTCCTTCCCTTTCTTTTGCCTGTGGGCCAATTTACCTTATGTAAGATTGCTTTATGTAGAAGTCTGGGGAATGGTCCACTTATGTAAAATGAGAACTGTCTGTACTTGAAAGGACTGTCATACATCAGAGAGATTAGACTTGTTCTGCTTGGCCCTAGGGGAGTCAAAAGTAGGAGCATGAGGAGAAGTTACAAAGAAGCCGATTTCAATAAATGAGTAAAAAACTTGCCAACACTGAGTGAAGGAAGGAATTGGGGGTGGGGGGAGAATTGGCTTTCTCTCACTGGAAAACTTTAGGCAAAGACTCAGTGTTCTCTTGGTGATTTAGCAATTCTTGGTCAGGTACAGGTTGAACCAGGTGTGGTCAGACCAGATTCTGGAGTTCTGTTTGGCCGCCAGGATTTTTGTAGTTCAATTTAACAATGGTTTTGTTATTAGTGATTCCCAGTGCTGATCTGATCATGTTTGATTCCTTGGGTTCGTAGAATCTGTTGAACTCCAGGCTCTGACTGCTTGTGTCTTTGCTCCAATACTTATCCTCTCTTTCCCTTCTAAAGCATGTGTGACACACTTAAGACCGGCAGTGCTCTTATTTATTCGTGTGAGAAAAGAATAATATAGAGAAATAAAGTAATCCCAAATATGTAATCTGTCTCTGTGGGATAGAGTATTGGGCTTTGTAGCTTACTAGCCTATTCTAATTAACTTGACTTAGTCCTTGATTCTACCATTGTTTTCATCTACAGGCCCCCCCCAGGTTGAGGTGTCCTGCTCCAAAACAAGAAGATCCAGTCTCTCATGTTCCTTCCTTATTTGGTTATAGATTGACCCCTCAGTGCCTTGAATTGGAGACATTTAGTTAAGCCAGAGGCTCCATGTGGTCTTTGAGTGCTTTTGGATTTTCTCCCATACATTGCTATATGATCACTTGTTCATTTGTACTGTCCTTCTCCAGGGCAGAAAAGAAATTTCATATTAAGTGCTTTTCAAACAATTTCTTTTTCTATCACTCAGAAAAAGAATGATTTACCTAATTCACCCACAAAGTTCACCAAAGAGAACTTTTCTTCTACACATGTTGAAATGAAGATATAATTAACTGTTCCTTTTAGTTCTGCAAGTGTTGATTAGATACCAGCAGCAGGCATTAACTTAACACAAGGTTATGCCATTTAATCACAAAATCTCGGTTACTTAATACTTAATTAGGATTTGGAGCTGAGGTTTAACAACTTATGTCAGCTGATACTTGTTGCTAATTTTTTCTGTCAAAAATTTACATTTTTTTAAAACATTCTAATTTAAAATTTATGGGAATAGGATGGTTGTGTTTGAGAATCTTCTCAGTAATTCTCTGTTTAACCAGTGAAAATAAAATTTATAAAGCTCCATTTGGGGGGGGGGGCGACTAGGGGGTTAAGTGACTTGCCCAGGGCCACACAGCTAGTAAGTCTTACGTGTCTGAGGCCAGATTTGAGCTCAGGTCCTCCTGAATCCAGCACCCGTGCTCTATTCACTGCGCCACCTACCTGCCCCATAAAGCTCCATTTTATAGCTTATTGCCAAACATACTGTTTTAGGCTGACCAAGTGCTCTGTTATTCTTAGCGTATTTTAGAAAATGATTTAAAATGTTTTAGCTGCATAAGTAATACACTAAGGTAAATTTTTATAAATCAGATAATATAAAGATGGAGTTTTTCAGACATAACAATTTAGTCAAGGAGAGATATGTTCTTCTACAGCTATATTTAAAAGGGAAAAGGGGCACCCTTTACAACCCTCAGCTGAATGCAGTTGTTTTTGGTTTTAGGTTAATTTCCCCATGTGTACCATTGCATCTATGCCCAGGCTCCCAGAACATTGTATTGAGTATGCAAGAATATTACAGTGGCCCAAAGAACAGCCTTTTGGAGGTAAAAAGCTCAATTTGAGAATTCTAAAATAATAAACAAAACACATCTTCAATTTTGTTGAGTCATAAATTCATTTTGGTGATGTTAAATATGTTTTGAATTCTTATTTCTGGAAAATTAATGTTTTTTTTGTATTTATGTCCTTTTTTTTTCTAGAGGGAGTTACGTTGGATGGAGATGATCCAGATCATATTCAGTGGATTTTCCAAAAATCACTAGA